AGCTGAACACAAAGCTGATCAGTGTCGACGGACAAAACCACATGTTGTTCAGAACTCACATCAACTTGAAATATTCACTAAATAACACACGACGAACTCTGAACTGTTTTCACTCGACTGTTTCAGCTCCGTCACATTAAACTGCAGAAAATCATCACAGATCATTGATTAACTGTCACACTTCATGACACTCAGACAAGAATCTGATCAATAATCAATAATGAGACTTTTGATCAGCCTTCATTCTGCTTCTTTGTCTCCTCCAGTGGGTGTGGTGCAGCCCACCCTGACCGTCCTCCCCCCCTCCAAAGAGCAGCAGCAGAGCAGTGTCACTCTGGTGTGTCTGGCCCAAGGGGGCTTCCCCTCAACCTGGAGGCTGGGCTGGAAGGTGGGGGGCAGCAGCAGGTCCTCAGGGGTGTCTAACAGCCTGGAGGTCCTGGGGAGGGACGGCCTCTACAGCTGGAGCAGCACCCTGAGCCTCCCTGCAGAGCAGTGGAGGGAGGCGGGCTCAGTGAGCTGTGAGGCCAATCAGGATGGACGGAGTCCTGTCACTCAAAGCCTGGACCCTGACAGCTGCTCACACTAGAACTTCAGCAGAACTTCACGTCTTGGAAATGATAGATTTTCATAAAAACGGCACATTTCAGAATAAAAAATACTTTGCTGTTATGTTATAAAATATTTTAACACAGAATTGTATTAAACAAAACTGATAATAAAAGTAATTCTGCAAGTTGTAATACTTCAGTCGTTCTCTGCTTCTTTTGTTCTTGTACACATTTAATGAAATACACTTGTTGTTGTATCAATGTTCAAATCAGCATCCAATAGATTTCATAAAGCATTGGATGCATTGTGTGGCAGCACGGCAGCTCAGTGGTTAGCACTGTTGCCTCACAGCAAGAAGGTCCTGGGTTCAATCCCCAGTTGGACCTGGGGTCTTTCTGTGTGGAGTTTGAATGTTCTTCTTGTGCTTGTGTGGATTTTCTCCAGGTTCTCCGGTTTCCTCCCACAGGTCAACAACATGAATGTTAGTCTGCTTCAGGTCCAGGCCTCCCTTGTAAAAGAGTTCTGTGACCTCAATGGGATTTGTCTGGTTAAATAAAGGTTAATAAATAAAAAAATAAAATGAAAATAATAAATAATAAATAAATAAATACAAATGTAATAAATGAATATACGGCAGGGCCCTGTGATGGACTTGCGACCCGTCCAGGGTGTACCCCGCCCCTCGCACACTGATTGCTGGACATGGGCACCGGCGACCCCCGTGACCCCAAATGGAAGAAGCGAGTAAAGATAATAGATGGAATAAATGGCAGTATTTTGTTTCTAAAACTATTTGCTTGTTTAGTAATAACATTGGATTTTATGCCATAGATTTTAGAGCTAAAGCTAATGAGCTAACAAGATTGGAGTTTGTGTTTTGTGGTTTTGGCTCTTTGTTCTCTGGAGCTCTCTGTCCATCCCTCTGGATTCTGAGCCTTCAGGAACCCTCGAGGAACGTTCTGCACAGATTTTAATCCCTGAACAACCACCATCAGAATAACTAGCAAAGAAACAACTGAATGTGTGCAAGAACCAAAGATCCCTCCACTGAATCTAAACAGAGTCATTGAGAAGATCTCTGACATGAAATACTTGAAAAGTTTGTCAAGTTTGACTAAATCCTACATTTCTATGAAGCTAAATGTGTCAAACTTTGGAACATTACCAACATCAAGTTTTTTTTTATTTTTTATTGAATTTTTTTTAACAAACAACAAAACAAACATACAAAAAAACAGAACAACCCCCCCAACCCTTCCCGCCTGCACCGGATCAGTCACACACAAATGAATTAACCAGGTTTGACATGTTTTCCACACAAACCCCTTCTTGTTTGCTCTGGTGCATGGACCGACTAACAAATGAGGTCACGCAGGAATCCTCATGGACGATGATGTTTGCAGATGACATTGTGATCTGTGTTGAGAACAAGGAACAGGTGGAAGAGAACTTGGAGAGGTGGAGGTATGCACTTGAAAGAAGAGGAATGAAAGTCAGTCGTAGTGAGACAGAGTACATGTGTGAATGAGAGGGAGGAGGTGGAACAGTGAGGCTACAAGGAGCAGAGGTCACAAAGGTGCAGGACTTCAAGGACTTGGGGTCCACTGTCCAGGAAAATGGAGAGTGTTGTAAAGAGGTGAAGAAGAGAGTCCAGGCAGGATGGAGTGGATGGAGAAAAGTTTCATGAGTGATTGGTGACAAAAGGGTGTCAGCAACGGTCAAAAGAAAACGTTTGCAAACAGTAGTGAGACCAGCTATGTTGTATGGTCTGGAGACAGAGACATGGACAAAAAGACAGGAGATGGACAGGAAGTGGCAGAAATGAAGATGTTGAGGTTCTTCTTAGGAGAGACAAGGATGGATAAGATTAGGAATGAGATCATCAGAGGTACAGCACAGGTTGAACAACTGGGAGATAAAGTTAGAGAGACCAGACTGAGATGGTTTGGACATGTCCAGAGGAGGGACAGTGGTTTGGACATGTCCAGAGGAGGGACAGTGGTTTGGACATGTCCAGTGTAGGGACAGTGGTTTGGACATGACCATAGGAGGGACAGTGGTTTGGACATGTCCAGAGGAGGGACAGTGGTTTGGACATGTCCAGAGGAGGGACAGTGGTTTGGACATGTCCAGAGAGGGACAGTGGTTTGGACATGTCCAGAGGAGGGACAGTGGTTTTGGACATGTCCAGAGGAGGGACAGTGGGTATACTGGTAGAAGGATGTTAGAAATGCAGCTGGCAGGAAAAGGACAAAGAGGAGATATATGGATGCAGTTAGAGAGGACATAGAGAGGACATGGTGGAGTGAGGACAGAGGATGCAGAGGACAGAGTGAGGTGGAGGAGGATGACTCACTGTGGACACACCTGAAGAGGGAAAAGCTGAAAGAAGAAGAAGAAAGAAGATATGTTTTCCACATACAACACAAAATTCTGCCAAGTGTCCCAAAATCTTTTAACAGAATCCTTCATGGTATATCCCATTGTTTTCTGGATGGATATGATGCATCACCTCTCTTATCCAATGTTCATATGCTGGGAGTTGTGGGTCCTCCCATCTGCACACACCAGTCTTCTGGCACGGAGAGAGAGAGCCAAAAGCAATCACATCCATCTCATACTTAATGAAGGACGTATCCGCAGGGACCTCCCTGAACAGTGAGGTGATGGTGATGGGTGCACAGTTTTTCCACATATCCCAGAGAAGGTGTCAAGAATAGATGAACAAAATGTCTGCAGTTTGGCACAGGTCCAGAATGTCTGCAGGAGTGTAGCTGGAGTTTGTTAACAATGATTATATGCGGGGTCCAGATCAGCTTTGATCTTGAACAGCTTGTCTTTGGACCAGTGCAGCCGGTGCACTACCTTGAATTACAGCATGTCTCAGGCAGACTGAAGATGAGTAAATGTTTTTAATATTCCTTCTCCAGACTGAGTCTGATATGGATTCCTACAAGTCTGTTTCTCATTTCCCAACTACAAGTTTTGAGCCTGTAAAAAACTTTGAGCTGTGACTGAATTAAGACCCAACAGTTTGACTCGTGGTGTAGATCTGAACAAAAAGCAGTGATGCATTAAAACACATTGAGGTCCATCTGTCTGTTTGAAACTGAGAAAGAGAGAATGCAAACTAAGACGTCTCTCGTGGGAATATTTAGGATCAGTTAAATAAAGTTAACCTGTCTTTGTGCTTTGTCTTGTGTAAGAGCTGCTTCAGTTTTGACTGAAGATTCAATAAGTTGCTTTAAATAAGAAGTATGTGTAGCATGAAGCTGCACTCCTCGAACTATGACCCCTGACCTTTGGGTGTCTTCCAGACTCACCATGAATTGTTTTCTTTAAAGTTACACTTGACTCCAATAATGTCTGATGTTTTTCACACGTTCTCTGTCCTTGAACACAGAGTCAGCTACAGTGTGACTAATGTTCTCCTTATTCTTTCTATGCTCTTAAGAAAGAAATAACAAATAATTAATGAAGTTTGATTATTTGATCATAACAGGTGTGGCCATGAATAATTCTGATTCTTGTTTTCAGTCATTATAATGAAGTCATGTGAAATATTATAATGTGTTTAACATGTTTCTCTGATTCTGTTTGTCAGAAAATAACTCCTTCCTTCAGAGACGCCTGATGGAAGTGTTCTTTGAGCTGGAGCTGTTGGCTTCAGAGGGAAGTCACAATGTTCCTCAGTGGTCTAAACATCTTCTGAGAGCTGCTGTTTTACACAAAGTTCTTTTGTGTGGGAAGCAGTCGGCCTTGGACTCCCAGACCTGACCAGCTCGTCTCTGGACCTGATCCTGGTGGTCGTCCCGAGGTCCACTCGTTCAGTCCTGAGCAGATAAACATGTTGCTCAATTACAAATGTTAGAAGTTTAAATAACTAGAGAAGATCAAGCATGTCCTCACTGCAACACTCACGCTCTCAGCTTGAAGTAAAGCTGACAGAAGGTGAAGACAGACGTCTCCTCCTCATCATCTGTTGCTCTCAGACCCCTGAAGCAGTCACAGTGATGTTCGGCTACCTTGGGCAGTTCCTGGTGAGTCCTCGTGGTGTATCCTGGTCTGACCCTCCAGAGAACCCCAGAAAGACAAGTGACCTGGTGCCTTCAACACTGACCTGGTAATGAGCAGAACCTGGTGACAGGATGCCCGTTTGGTTCTGATTCTTAGCTGATGCAACTTGGTCAATCATTTCCTGGCTGCAGTGATAATAAATGACTTTATCTGATCACATTAAATAACTTCTTTCAACCTAAATCCAAAGTAAACTATTTATTAAAAAGAGTCAGACTCTGTCTATATTTGTGCACGTATAAAACCCAAACTCATTTCTGTTCAAAGAGTTAATTTTGCCTTAGATCAGAGAATTAACCCTCGATTGATTCATTATTATTGTTTGTTTATTATTGTTGTTGATTATTTTTGTAATAAAACTTCAAAGACAACTTTGGCCTCTTCATTCAGATGAATATTAATTTGTTCTGGTGTAAAAATCCCTGTAATTAACAGATTATGATTATTATTATTATTATTATTTCTCTGTCCTCCGGTGAAACCAGACGTGTCTCCCTGGGCTCGTGGATCAACGTGGCACTCTAATTCCCAGTCCTTACAACCAGTGCTACTCATATGTTGCACAAGCCTTCAAGTCAAAAGGGAAGCTGACAAGTGAAAAAGACCACAAACTTCAGACTCCCACACCACCACATGAGAATGGCTCAGGCTTCCTGGACGTAAAGGCTTGTGGATAAAGCCACACATTAGTGGAGATACCTGCATTGAGTTTTAGAAACCACCAGACCATGATAAACGTGATTTCTTACCACACATCCCAACAGCAGCAGCACAATCATCAGAGCTCTGACAAACATTTCTGACCAGGTCACACCTTCTCCTTCATCTGCTTGCCTTTCAGTAGTGAGGTGGAGCACCAACAGCTGCCACTGGTTACACTTGAATCTCTTGTTAGAGCAGCACCAGATTGACTTTTTAATTTTTGATCAAAAACAGATTGACTGTACCTCATAGTGCACTTGGTAGAGCTCTCAGCGAGGCCGCCGGATCAAATCCCGGCCGGGGGCCTTTCTGAGTGGAGTTTGCACGTTCTCTCCGTGCATGCGTGAGCATGAACTTTGTTTTCTCCAGGTTTAATTAAGGGGCAGATATTATATGAATTTTCTTCTTCATTTTGCACTGCACCCATTTCATTTTTTATTTTGTTTTTTTGATGAATTAGTTTTTCTTTTAAATGAATAAATAAATAAATAAATAAATAAATGTAGGTTTCAGTCTGAGAACAAGAAAACACTCCAGACTTTCTTCACAGCTAAACTCTGAGGAGCAGCGGTGCATTCAAGTCCTTCAAAACAATAGAAAAAACAAAATCTAAGATGACAGAAAATTATTTATTTCTAAACTACTTTTTAAACTTTATGCTTTGTTTTTAAAAATAAATGCATATTGTTGTTTGTGAAAATCTCAAATATCTTCTGCATTAATTTTTTTTTCACTTATGAGTTCATAAAAACTCTTACTGTAAAAGTGGGTCCACTGTAAATTCAATATCAAAATACTTATATTAGTCATTTGGTATTATATGAATGCTTTGTTTTCTGTGTGTCCGATATGATGGAATAAAAAATAAAAAAACAGTATTACAAATAACAAAATAAACCATGGCTGTTAATGCAGCAGTTTGTTGAGTTCA